ATCAGCTGAGGTGGAATAACTATTTATTTAACTTATCTTTTGTAAAATTACTTTTTTTACCTTAATTACTATTTTATTTACTATTATTTTTTTTTTTTACTTCTTTGCCAAGGTAAAGACTTAGATGATCCTTTTGACCATTTTAGGTGATATAGAAAAACTTAAAATAACAATGCATGATATGAAATATTTAAATAACGTCGACTTAAGAATTTTATTAAAGTCTCGTAAACTAAACAACAGTGCTCACAACCAAAAACTAACACCAAAGAGAATACTTTTGTTACGAATTTTCAAACATTGCCGTTTATCTCTCTCGATGCGACGTCTTAATAATCAAGGTGATGGCTGGTTGTACATTTTTTCCATTTTCTATTTACAGGTATTATTGTTAAAGAATTCTTGACTTTACTTGTTTTTAAGATGTCAGTGGTGGACCTTATCCGCGGAAAGAAATTTAGGAGAAAATCTCTGTAAGTATTTTTCTGCTCGCTTTCTTTAAATTCTACTTTTTTTCACATATTTTTGCTCTTACAAACTCACAGTTGCCCGTCTATTTTATTATTAATTTTTTTAGAAAAAACGTATAAATTTTCAATTTTCCGAAGGAAAGAGTTTTTTTCCGTCAGAAAATCAGATTTGCTAATTTAATGATGCCTCGACGTTTCAATTCACTTTAAATCGTTATGATTGATTTTGGTGAAATTTCGCATGGTGACAGAGTTGATAGTCGAACCGAAAAGCTTAAAATATTATAGGCCTATTACAAGTAGTTTAGTTATAAAAAATAATTAATGTCATTATTTATTTGTAAGATTGTGTAAAGTATGTGTGTGTGTATACCAAAGCCAAAATTTGACCTTTCGTCTATGTTTTCTTGAAAATCAATGAATTATTAGATCACGGCCGAGTCGTATTTTTAGAATTTGCAAAAAACTTCAAAATTTTTTGTCAACATTTTCACAAAAAATCATGAACCGGTTTTGAATATTTAATAACCGTTCCAAGGATATCCGCTGATTAGTTTTTGGGAAGGATCAGTTGGCGTTTTCTTCGTAATTAATTGTTATAACTTTATTTTGGCGATTTTATGGTTTTAACGAACATTCTAAAATATTATTAAAGGCCTACGAAAAGTGGTTTGATTATAAAAGTTCATTAAAGTTTGGAATAATGGATTTCAAGTGGATTGTAACGTTGCATTGAACTTTTTGTAACATAAGGCTCCGTAACATTTTCATAATATATCCTTTATTTTTAGAATCTTGCATATAAAATTGTTACTAAACAAACGATTTTAACTATCTCATTAAAACCCTTGATCTTATAGAAGTGATAATAAAATGATGATTTCTTACACGATGTAGAGTTGTGTATCATTATACAACAATTACTATATATTTTTTTTAAAATAAATATGATTCTGAAAGGATCTGAAGGTATATGTACTCCTTGATCTCAAAGAAGCGATTTAAAAATATGATTTTGACGCGATTTAGGGTGACGTATTACTATATAATAGTTAATATATTAAAAAATGCTTTATGGTTTTGAATAAATCGACTTTTATTCAAGATATTGTAACATTCGTTTTTCTCAAAATGTTCAAAGAATTTCGGGTCCTTTCTTCGTAATTAATGTTGAATTTATTTAAAAATATAAAAAATTTCAAAACATTTGATAGATTTCATTATGGTTGTGTTTTCAGTATTTTTCATCTACTTTTCTTAAAAAAAATCTACTCAGATTTTAAACATGCCTAAATTTAAAAAATAAAATATGTAAGCACAAAATCAATTTTTGATGCGTAAAAATGTAGAAGCACATTATTTACGAAATTTTGAATTATTTTCATACAAAATATGGAAAATATTATCCACGCAGCCGAAGTAGATTATAACGCTGAATTGTATGATAAATGATATGGTTCTGAATTGTATGATAAATGTATGACCTCCCATATGATTTAGTCAAATACCCAACCGTATTTTTTGTTTACGAAAAAAGTTAAATATTGTTTTCCAAATGTAATTAGCAAATACTCAAAGAATCGCTTTTGTGTTAAATCGATCGAATCTAACTACCGACTTTTAGCTCTGAAATTAATTAATTAATGGAAACATGAATCGCAGGATTTCTGAACATTACTTTGGCAACGAATGTTTATATTCACCGCCTTGCCCTACGTGAAATGAGTTTTAGATTTTCAGATTGTTGTATGTAACAAAGCTCTACAAGGCAGGATTATACCAACTCATAAAATATCAACTGTAGCTTTCATGTAAATGTTATTCTAGGAAAAATGATTAAATCTAGTTGGATTAAATATTATAGATTCTTTCATGGGCGTTGGTATCTGTGTAGATTCCAATACGTGACCAATTGCGCTTCGAATTTAATTTAATTTTTAAAAGTTCAATTAGAAATTCATAAGTTACTAAACCTATAAATAATCACACATGTTCGGTAATTACGCGGGTTACTTTATTAAGAAATTTGGATTTTTTAATTATTTTTAATCTTTATTGTTAGTTTCACATGTGCGATTTGCTATTGGATTTTGCTTCTTAACTTCCACGCATCTTCCACGAAAGAGAAGTTTCGGTTTTCACCAAAAATCCGATTTGCTAATTTTATGTTATCGACGTTTCAAGTCATTCTGAATCGTTTGACCCTAAATGTGGTGAAGTACGTGTATTCGTGAGCTTATTTTTGAGCTTTCGTCGACGTTCTCTTGAATACAGTCGAACGAATTCAAAATTTTAGAAGCCATTTGGTGAAACTCAATAGTAACTTCTAATTATTTTTTATTTACTGAGGTATGTATTTTTTGGAAATTGCCAACAAGATTTCCTTTTTTGTTCATAAACAAAGCTATTGTACATATATATTATAATCTTATCTATTTCATATTGCATATATGAAAACAATATACCTGCGGGTAGAAGTTTGTAAATAACCAAAGTAAAAATATTTTTCTGATTACGATTCTGGTGAAACTCAATGTGGACTAGCATTGATTACAAGACTAAACGTTTTCTTTAGTTAGAATTTGCAGAAAAGTGCAAAGATTTTGTATAAGCAGAAAATTTTAAAGCTATTTAAAAGAAGATATCAGTTGGGAATCGTGCTGATTAGATTTTGGTGATGATTGGCCGGGCTGTTTCTTCGTAATTAATTGTTAAAAAAATCAAACTTCGCAAGTGATAGAGTTTTTGGTCTGATGTTTAGACTCTGAACGAACATCTTAAAATATTGTAAGGTAATTAATATTGTAACAAGTAATTTAATTATAACAAATAATTACTAATTGAAATAGACGCGATTTGAAAAGTTATTATACTAAATTTCAATTTTTAAGAGTTATTAGGTATTCTACCCAATATTTATTTATTTATTTACTCATATAGGAAAGTTCGGGTTAAGGCAAAATGCCACTTCAAACTTGTTATTTAATCAACCAACTTGTTAGCATTGAGTTGTACATGAGCATGATATTTCTAAAATCTATAATTAAAGTGCCTCAGTGTTATAAAATGCTTGATATAAGTTTTTGTTAAGAAATTTAATATTTTGATGTTTTATAGTTACATGAAAGGTTTTACTTTAAAACTAGACATTCAATAAAATCAGTGGCATACTTTATGTTTGGTTACATAAATTCTGCAATCGTGGACTTGCATGCAGTTCAATATCGGAAATATCTTTTGCCCCCAGGGAAATCTTAGAAGCTAGTTCTCAA